TGCCTTGTGCTTCTGCTATCACCACGTCTTTTCGCCGGACTTATTTGGCTCGAATTGCCGTCATGACCATTGACGCCCATGTCCGTGAACCATCAATCATTCTACCATCCACTTAGTATTGAATCAAACAATTTCCCATCATGCAGGCAGTCGCGCTGCTGAGACATGTGCCTCTCTTTGCCTATGTGACGGCTGTGCCCGTTGCATGTCTGGCCTACGTGAGCCCTTGCTTCCAGCCCTAACGAGGATGGAATCCTCACTGACGAGTTTGTCAGGTGCTTGCTATCTGCATCTACCGTATCTGGTTCCATCCCCTTGCGAAGTACCCGGGTCCTTTGCTGGCCAAAGTGACCAACCTCTATGGAGGGTACTACGCCTGGAAAGGAGACCTGCACCTTGATATGATGCGCTGCCATGAGAAATATGGTGAGCTTGTTATACTACCCTCGGTCTCTATTCCAATGTGGCACTCACTAACGGGTGATGCGACAAGGCAACTATGTTCGATATGCACCAAATCGTGTGCTGTTCAATACCAACACCGGCCTGAAGGGTTTGTCACTTGTCGAGCTCCGGGCCACTGAAAGAAGTCACTAACCGGGTCAACGAACCTCCCAGAGATCTATGCGTACAGCAAAAGCTTCCAGAAGTCGGCCGCCTACGGTGCCATGGTTCACCGCGCTCCTAACACACTCACCCTCATTGACAAAAAGCAACACGGTCGCAAGCGACGCATCATCGGACAGGGCTTTGGAGATGCCGCCCTGCGTGGCTTCGAAGGGACTATCATGAGTCTTGTACGCAAGTTCTGCGACGAGCTGGCCAAGGATATCTCGGGCGGAAAAGCTGGTGAATGGTCTCGTCCGCAGAATATGGGGAAATGGTGTATGTATTGTCCTCCCCACTCCTAGCGAAAGCTAAGATGTTGACGTTTCGCCCAGCCAACTATCTCACCTTCGACATCATGTCCGGCATCATCTTCGGGGAAAGTTTTGATCTTATTGGTAGTCCCAAAAACCGGGAGATTGTCAAGTGCATTGAGGACTCTAACGTGCGTACTGGAGTCCTATCCCAAGCCGGTGAATTATCCACACGCCGTCTCGACCGCTGGCTCTTCCCTCAGGCAATTCAAGGCCGAAATGCGTTCATTCGCTTCGTCAACATTCTTCTCAAGAAACGCATGTCGGCAAAGCCCTTGAAGCGTCACGATGCGTTTTCATTCTTGCTGGATGCGGTCGATCCGGAGACGCAGCAGGGATTCACACCTGCAGAGATCGGTGCTGAAAGTACCACCATGATTGTTGCCGGTAAGATCATCTCTATCTCTCCCATCTCCTAACTTTGGTAGTCCCTTCGCCTAACACCACTAAGGATCCGACACCTCCTCCACCGCCATCGCTTCGACCTTCTTCTACCTCTGTCGCAACCGAGAATGGTACGAAAAAGCCAAGGAAGAAGTTCGCGCCGCGTTCCCGGGCCCCGACGACGTTGCCCTCGGACCCGCCCTGAACAACTGCGTGATCTTGCGCGCATGCATCGACGAGAGTCTGCGAATGTCTCCACCCGCCAGTAGCTCCCTTTGGCGCGAAGTCCTTGACGACGGAGTCACCATTGACGGTCAGGTTGTCCCGCGAGGCTACGACGTCGGCACCTGCATCTACGCCATTCAGCACAACCCGGACTACTACCCAGCACCCTTTGAATACCACCCCGAGCGCTGGCTCGACCCCGTGCCGGAAAAGGTACAGCTTGCACGGTCGGCTTTCAATCCGTTCTCCATTGGACCGCGGAGCTGTCTGGGGAAGGGATTAGCCTGGACGGAGCTGATGCTGACTATGGCTTATATGCTCTCGAAGTATGAGTTCCGGAGTGCGCCAGGCGAGGATGAGAAGGTTGGGGGTGGAAATGAGACCATGGGCCCTGGAAGACAGCGCGAGGGCGAATACCAGTTGCGCGATCATGTTACGGCCGCAAAGGATGGCCCCATTGTGCAGGTTTCTTTCCGATAGGGTGAATTCTTGTTTTTTTTTTTTTCTTCGGTTGATAAGTGACTTGAGGAATGATACGACGTGAGTATGTATTTTTAAATAGTCTCTCGAGTGGCCTCGAAGGTGTTCTTCTGAGAATGAAATTGGTTCATTTGCGTTCTGAATCTGGATTACATTCAGTAAATCTCTGTCTTCCATGGGTTTAGTAAATTAAGAAAATAAATAAATAAATAGAAATTAAGATTAACACTAAACAAAAATAGAAAGGACGACAAGATAGTTTATGTCAAGTTTCCTTACAAACTATTATTAGAATTATTTTCTTTCTACTCCGTATCAGACGGAAAAAGGCGAGAGCAGTTCAGCAACCAACCCCAGCCCCGTGTGTATTTCCAACCGGCAGCATACTTCGAAGAGCCTATTTTTCACGTTAAGTTTGAACGCTTCACCTTAGTAGTAGTTGGGGGCCATTTAGCGGCTTCCACATAGTGACACTTACATTCTAAGCGTACTCTCAGTCTTGGATACGGCGATCTGTCAGATTATAGTGAAAATATTAGAATCGCTAAACATTCCTCATATACGAACTTATTTACATAATGATACAGAAAGAACCAGAAGAACCCACATCAGGTGTCCCCTTCACCTCTTCACGCCATCCAAACTGGTCCTCAACTTCACCACGCTGGATCTTCGTGAGCGCGGCATATAACTGCTGACAAACAGGACCCGCAGTCGTCTCCTCCGTGTAGACGAAATGGTCGTCGCGCGACGTCCGGGTAATGGATCGAATAGGAACCAGGGCGGCAGCAGTGCCGACGGCCATAACCTCTTTGAAGGTCGCAAGTTCCTCGTATTTGACCTAAACGGACGGTTAGTTATGGACCCAATCGGAAGAGAGCCAAGGGAGGGTTCGTACTGAACGATGCTCGACAGTCCATCCCAAGGACCGAGCAATCTGCATACAACTATCGGACGTCACACTCCCAATGATATTATCACTCTTGGGCACCACCAACACGGGCTTCTCCCCGTCCATTTTCGCCCCCAGAAATCCGGATGTGGAAAACTCATCGATCTCGGAATGAGTGGCACTATCCAGATGCAGGGTCATAGGAAATCCCTCCTTCTTGGCCTTTTCCGACCACTTCATCACGGGGGCATAATTGCCTCCGATCTTGGCGTGGCCGGTTCCCCGGGGTGCGGCACGATCGAAGTCTTCGAGAACGACCGCGGGCAAGGGCGCGATGCCATGATAAGTGCTGAACGGCTGCACATATACGCAGAAGGTATATTCAGTGGGAGGGGTCAGTGCAAAATGCGCCGCGGAGCCCAAGAGGACCGGGCGCACATACAAGGCGGCGCCGCTCGCGTGAGGCGGGACCCACTCGGCATTTCTCGCGACCGCAAGATTCACGCACTCAAGAAAATGATCAGTGGGGACGGGAGGAATGGAGACCACGTCGGCAGAGTGTTGCATGCGCGCCGCATGGAATTGTGGGCGAAAGAGAAGGATCTGGTCAGCGGCTGATCGGTAGGCTAATCATGACTCTATAATTAGATCCAGGGCAGAATCCTGTGTGGGGATAGATAGGAAAAAACAAAGCTCACCTTTCAATCCTTCGTACACCTGTTGTCCATAGTTCAGGGCAGGGGCCAACCCGTGGATGCGAAGATACGGATCCTCCACGAATTTGGGTGATGTCCACTTTCCGGTGGTAATGGAAAAGGTCGACTCCACATGGCCATTGACTATAACAGAGAGAATGGAATGTGAGCGTTTATTCTTGGTTTCTTCGTTGCGGGTCCATTCCCGGGAGAGGTCCTCTCTTACCCATGTCCGTCACCGCAAGCCCTAACTTCGTCCAATCTATCCCGCAACTATGTCAGTACTCCCTCCATCCTATGTACGATCGAGTGGGTACGAACCAATATTCGCTGCTGGTGCGGGTGGGAAATTCATGATGGTGATTGCTGATCTGGCCTGGGATACGAGTTTCGAAGCTTGGTTTTGACTTTTCTTTTTCTTTTGTTTTCTTTTCTCTTCCAGGATTCCAGGATCGGTAGTATAACGGGTGATTCTGACGGGTTCTGTGGATTACGAGGTTTATCTATGCATTGTCTACTCCTTTGTGGACTGATCACCCTCAGTGTTTCTTGGATGACTCTCTCATCCTTCAAGTGGTGGCTTGGCCTTTTCTTGTTGGAGTGGCCCCCACAACATCCCGAGGGCATGAGGGCATGAGGTTGCAGATGCACTGTGAGGGATGACGGGACCTGCAGACTCAGCTTTAGCGTGATAGCTTATTATTATTTTTGTAATAGCTTATTCTTTTGCACCGTTTCAGCCCTCTCGATCGGATGACCCTCGTCATAGATCTCACGGACCATGCGAGATCACCGTGTCTGTAACGGCCCCCAAGTAGGGCTGTGTGGTGTTCTCTTGTTACAGATGTCCATGCGAGGATGATCCAGTGCCCCAGTTTCGCCGGCAAGATCAGGATTGAGTACTCGGTGTTGCTGAGATGGTCGATCCCCCAAAGCAAAGAACCTGTAAGCTCACCATCAGCAAGCTCATACTCCATAGACATTAAAGAAACAAGAGGACAAGAGCGACGGACAAATCGAACCAGAACTATATTGCCAGAATTTTATTAGCCTGAGTACATCCGGTGGTGTAGCCATACTCTGGAGCTAGCAAAAGCACCCCTGCCATCCCCAATCATGCGGAATAGTCCCGCGTGGTCCCTCTCCCAGAGTCCGTCTCCTGCACGAACGTCCACCGTCGGAATGATGATGAAAGGCTTGGATCCGGTGCTGGCACCTGGGGATCCCCTTGACCCCTGTCCCTGGCCTATCTCATATGCAGATAACGACATCTGGTCACAATATTCTGGCGGCCTATTCTCCGCCGATTCAGATGTCCTGCACCTCTCTCAAGCAGATTGGCAAAATGCCGACTTGTCCGACAGCGGCAGTTGGTCTGCGACCAACTCCCTCGGCGATTTATCTATGACCTTGTCGGATGCTCCATTCGGTCAACCTCCTCTATGGACACCCAGCAGTGTAAGTCTCTCTCTCTCTCTTGCAGCTTTCTTCTTCCCTCTTGCTGTCCAAGACGTATGGCTTCTATCCCCAGACGGACATGAACTGACCTCCTGGATAGGATCCATGTCTCTTTCCCAGCATAATACCCTCGGGCGACCTCTCTAGTGAGAATGTATCAGACATCCACCACCAACCCTGTGATGGCATTCCCACGCCGCCTCCCTCGCAGCCTCAGTCGAATCCGAGAACTCCTCAAGAACCCAGTCACGGCACCGAGCGTGTGGTCTCCTTGCTGCTCCTGCAACGCGGGGTCAATGTGAACGTCCAGGACTCCCGCGGCCAAACCCCACTACACATTGCCGCCCAGTGCGGGCACCTGGGCGTGGTGCGATTGCTCCTTACAACCGAACAAATCGATGTCAATGCTCGCGACCACCACGGGTCGACACCACTGCATGTCGCAAGCGAAAAAGGGCATGTGGAAGTGGTGCAGTTGCTAGTGGCTCATGGGGCGCGCTTAGATGCCCGGTCGGGTCGCACCGGATAAGCGGAAACCTGGTCGAACCCTGGTCTATATCTGCATCTACTGCATCTCCCGGTGTTTTTTTTTGGTGTTATGGGGTGGCATCGATGATTTCGGAGAAGCGATTTCCTTTCAGTCGTTCCTTACTTTTTCCTTTGTTAGATTTCCTTTGTCATCTTAATTTTTCTTATTTTTTTCATTCGGTCTTTTCTCCTCATATATCCTGTGGCGTTGTTCTTTTTTTTTTGCATGACTTGGCGACTCTTCTCCAGGGGGAAGAGGGAAAAGTCGACTCGGGGAAAACTCGGTCTTTGTTTCACGATACTCGTCTTATCACGCGGTTTCAAGGCGTTGGTATTGGTTTTCACAGCGCAAGCATACCTATATCCAGTCCGATAGACCTTTAAATTGTTTAATTCTCACTCTTTTCCGGTTGTGTTTTGTTTTATTTTTATTTTTCTTGGTTCTTTTTTTCCACCGTGATATAGATGCTGGTGTGGGCACCATATGGCCTTTAATACCGCGTAGCTTTACGCCGTATGTATATGCAACCTGACGGATAGAGGCGAGGAAAGTTGATAAAGTAATACACCAGAAAATGAACAATCAAAATGTCTGATAAATGAAGTAATGTGCCCTACCTTCCTTCTACTCAGTATCTACCCTACGGAGTACCTTGGTGTGGTAATTGAATTGGTGACGCGCCGCGTTGTAAAGGCTCCCGTCCCTAGTTTAACAACTTTGCAACTCTTTGTATGAGCTTCTCTCTCATGCTCAGTTTCTACCTGGTCATTTGGAGAGATATTTTCGGAATATCAGGCGATCAGCTTTGGTTAGCCATTTAACGCCATGGGTTCTTGCGTGACGTTGACGTTGATTTGGACAACACTGTGATGTCCGATTAGGGAGAGATATATATATATCTGAGGGAGGCACAGCGTAAACTTGGGCTTCGGCGGTAAACAGCTTAATTTGTGAAAGCAATTGCCATTTGATCCCATTTTTGATATTAAACCAAAGAGCCTACTTGCCACAGACCACCAAGTCCCTTTCTTCTCGCCTTGAAGGTCAATATCATTGTCTTCACAGAGTAAACAGTCTCCCTCTCTGCTCATCTGGGAAACATGCTGCCGTGAACTAATCGACTGTTATTGGCTAAAGTAGTCCATAGTTTATACTACTACTACTATAGGTTAGAGGCAGCCCGAGCCGAGGGCGGTGACGAGTTCAACCAATTAAAGGACGATATAGAACAAGCATTTTCCTCCGATTTAGCGGATTATCAGAAAACGCCAAGCCGGGTTTAACTTGGGGTTCAACCCTGTCAAAAGAGCAGAAGAGCTTATCTCCTAGGACCATAGCGGTGAAGGGACTCGAAGCGGTCAGCTATTCTGCTACGCAGTATCTGTATCTGTCTACAACCCACTGCCATAAGATGGGACGACATAATGATTCGGACTATGCAAATTAGACGCAGTTACTCTATACAACTGACAGACCTTTTTTTTTTTTTCATTGACTTGCCACAGACACCCTTAGCGAGAACCAACTATGATGGTTGTCAGAATTATACAGCGCCCACGGTCGCATGGTCCTCCACATGAACCGTTCCGTAGAACTCGTTCATTTACATCGATAACTTTATCCTAAATCCTAAACGCGCGAGCCTCTACAGATATGGCCTGAATCTGCTTCGACGGTTAGGTTGAAGGAAAGAATGTGCCAGGGAGGACAATCGTGTGGTTCTCGACAACGCGTATGATGCGCGTTGCGACCCAGCGATCGGAAATGGAGAAGATGGCATGGCTCAAACAAGTTCGGGGTGAAAAATGACGCTTCGCAGTGACTGTGGCAGACGGCCAGATGCACGATCGCGTGGTTGACACCGGCAGCGAGAGGGACGTTTTAGAGCTAGTATCACGGTCGGCAGGAAGGCCGTGCGAAAGGCGAAGTCAATAGCATTCGACGTGGTTTCAAGGTCCACACATGACCCAGAGAGACGACGGAGGACCCATCGCAAATGATCGGCCTCTCGTCGTCTATATATAACCATTCTACTCCATAATACTGCATTGAATTATACTCGACTGGGGTCCCGCCCCTCCTTCGGCATTTAGCTACTGTTTAGATCACCTGACACCAACCACTGGCAGAAGTTTGGCCTCTCTCAAAATAGCAATCATGGAATCAAACTTCGAACAGGCGTGGATTCTATTGGGCGACCGTGTCCTCGCCCCCAATTTCAACAGAGTAAGATGGTATTCATGAGTCGCGCTAAACTGATGAAGGAAATGTTGGTTCTGAAGCGTCAAAGCTAATGCAACGAAGGGGCTCAGCCGCGACAATTCCCTCTGGAAAGTTGAAACTCTAGCGGCGGAGAAATGGGGGCGGTGACTGCGGGCCCCTTCTGCAGGCATCGTTATCATAGCTCCGTACTAACGACTACTCGTCCCGGAAAAATACATTGTCGGGTAAGAACGACTCCTAAGGTGTCTTTTTGGACCAACATTCCTGACTCGCGCATGGATCTTGCATATGCCACGAGAGATGGAACCTTGTCATTGGATCGCCCTTCTTTTTTCTTATCTCGAGCTTATTCTACATAGCTCCTCCAGGGCGGAGGACGTGGTTTAGGATGACTTGCTAATTACCGGAACTTGACCTGCCAGAATCGGAGAGTTCCCACCTCATAGCATCGAGGCTTTTACGATTAATTCGGGCTAAGTCCTCTTCTTTATGTCATCGTGGTTCGTTCGTGTATCTATATACGGTCAATTTGTGCAGTCAGCCCGGACGGATCCACGCTACCGCGACGCTACTGCAAGATAAGATGCGTGTAAGAACACAAGCAGCCTCAGGCAACTCTGGCCCCCAGGCTGACCGCACGAATCCTTTTGGGGGCTATCACCCCCTGCGCCGCACCTTCAAGACTGGTTACAAGGCTGCGACATGTTACAGACTGCTCAGAAAACGTGGCTAACACGAGGTCGGCAGGGGGACCGTCAGCCCTAATGGGGAGAGCCCGCCCCCACGCACCAAGGCGGATGGCAGGGCACCTAGTCTGACATGCTCATGGAATCCACGACTGTAGCTCCATGTCGGATGAGAAGTATGTTGATTGGTGGACGCATTTGGAGTTCCTCAATAGCATGGTGCAGTCGCCGTCACCGTCGAGGATTAATATCTACTCAGATCTGCCCATCTTCTGGCCGATGTACTTACTGTATCTACTAAACGTGCCTGGTCTATACAAAAGCTCAGCTCTGATCTTCCGTGAAGCAATCAGACATTATCATTCTTTCTCTCCTTCCACTACGTCCGTCATTGTTTTGCCAACTTCTCCCTTACCTGTTGTCTCTTCCTCTACCCTTTTAATTGCCATCCCATCACCTTTCACTTACCTTCTAACCTTTTAAACTCGATCACCAAGGAACACTAATCACAATGGGTGACGCCGGAGACTACACCGCATTCCAGGCCATCACGGCCCAAATCCCTATGGGATCCAAGGGGAGTTCCTTCTTTTTCCCCACCCTTACTGACGGAGTTATCTTAGATAAAGAGCAGACCGACCAGGCGCAAATCCCCCTGGACCTGGGCACCGTCTCCCAGGGAAAGGCCCTGGCTGCATTCTGCGAACGACATGGACTGTCGGTCCTGAGCGTGCTGAATGTCGCCTGGGCCATGGTTCTCTCCGCATATGCCGACACCGAGACGGTCGGATTTCTCTTTGTTCGATTCGTCGCCGGTGTGCCCCATGTGGGCGTCTACCAGGCGGAGATCGACGGGGGCAAGTCCGTGCTGAAGACGCTCGTCGACGCGGAAGAGAACCTACAGGCCAGTGTTTCGTCATCCGCCCTGATGACACCGGCCGAATTCCAGGAGTTGTCCGCCCGAGCGGGTGGTCCAGCTTTCAACAGCGTTGTGATGCTGTATGATGAAGAATCCCCGGAGCGGGAACAGGTACGGACTCCTGGCGCGGTTATTTTGATCGATCGTGATAGTCACTGACAAGGAGCACCAAGCCGGGCAATTACCTTGCCATTCACGCCCGGTACCTACAGGATCGGTTTGTCGTCGACCTGCAATGTCCGACTTCCTTGATCCCTGCCTCGCAGGCAAAGCACTGCGCGGCGACTCTCAGCCACGTACTCGGTGAGATCATCAAAGCCCCCCGAACCCCCCTCTCCGAGGTAAGTTTGATGAGTCAGGATGGAATGCACCAAATCTGGGAATGGAATAAGCGGATGCCCGAGGTGGTCTCTCGCTGCCTGCATCACCTCATCGACGAGCGGGCCCGCAAAGAGCCCGAGGCACTTGCCATCCAAGGCCCAGATGGGTGCATGACATACGGCGAGCTGCAGTCGCTCACAGATCGCCTGGCCCACTATCTGGTAGATCGGGGCGTGGGCCCTGAAGTGGCCGTACCCCTGTTCTTCGAGAAGTCCAAATGGGCCATTGTCACCATGATCGCCGTCGTTAAAGCGGGCGGCGCCATTGTGAATCTGGACGCCAAACAGCCTCGGTCCCGTCTGATGGAAATCATGGAGCAGTTGCAGGCTCCATTGATCCTCACCTCCCAGCAATATGCACCGCTCTGGCAGGACAACTGCAATGTCTTCTCTGTTCACCAGGAAAGTGTCATGGCACTTCCGGCACAGAAAGCATCCCCAGCGGTCGCTGTCACACCCAAAAACATCCTGTACATTATTTTCACCTCCGGTAGTACCGGAACCCCTAAGGGCTGTGTGGTGGAACACGAGTCCTTCCTGACGGCTGCAATCCAGCACGTCACCGCGGGCGAGATCGACCCGACCAGCAGAATCCTACAGATGACACCGTACACGTTTGATGTTAGCATGCTCGAAATCTTCACCACTCTCACTACCGGTGCTTGTGTCTGCTTCCCCAGCGATGAGCTGGCACAGCATGGCATCGCTCATATCATCAACGCGCTGCGCATCACATGGACCTTCATGACTCCTTCGGTGGTGCGCTTGGTCGATCCTGCTGATGTGCCTACTCTGAAGACGCTGGCTCTTGGCGGTGAAGCGTTGAGCCAGGTCGATGTCACGACCTGGGCGGGCAAGTTGCATCTAATCAATGGTAGGTCCCATGCTTTGCTACCTTGGGTCGAATCAATTGCTAACCAATGTCACTAGGATATGGCCCCAGTGAATGTTCCGTCGCGGCCACGATCAACCCCCACCTCACGCCGGACGCTGACCCGGCAAACATCGGGCGCGGCTATGGCGCGGTGTGCTGGGTCGTTCACCCGGATGACCACAACCGTCTTGTCCCGATCGGGGCAGTGGGTG